CACAAAAACAATGGCAAGCACAATTATGTAAACACACAAACGGACATGAATACATATACACGCACACACACACACAGAGGATACAGGACGTACGAACGGAGTCTGGCGAAGACAGCAGTCCTTAAGTTGTCTTGGTTAATCTCGGCCAAGCAACTGTTGCCTTGAAGAGACTGGGCCGGCTCTCTAGGCTCGGGGGGCTGGAAGAGTGTATGTTGATTGGCTTGTGGTGTTGTTCTGGTGCCGGCTTGTCCAGCACTCTTGGGCCAGGGTCTTCTGCAGTTGCAGGTAAGCAGACAAGCCGCCAGAGCAATGCCTTGGATGGCCGGAAGAACTGTAAAAGTGGGAAAGGGTGTCAGGTCGGCTATGTTGCCGTGATGATAGGCGGCCCTGGTTTGCGTGAAATGGGCCTTGCTGCGACACCTTTGCGAGCTGCAGTTGAGCAACTTGGCTGCACCGTTCACCCACGTACAGGGTACACACATACTTCAGGCGAAAGTACATTTCCATCTTCTTTCATGTAGTGTCAGGCCAAGACATGTAGGCGATACATAAACTGATTCGTCCGACTTGCCTCTTTAAGCGCACGTGACTGGGCGAGTTATTTGCAATGTGAAATGGGTTCATCCTATTTTGTTTAAAGTGGTGAAGGACTGGTAGTTGAATTTTCCCACTATGCTATGAGTAGAGCCGACGTTTCCACTGAATTGCACAGAGCCTTGCCTCGCAAAAGTTGTCCTCATTCAGACAGAAGTGGACTGCAGTTTCGACCTCGCATCGGTCTTATCAACACCCACAGCGGGAGTCGAACCGTGACAGTGCAGCATGTGAGCTTGACACGTTAACCACTCGGTTGCATTGGCACGGGTGCCCTTGGGTCCCAGGGCAGATATCAATTTCAAGGAAGGCCAGGCCTTTTCCCACATCACATTCTACTACCAGTCCCTCATCTCCTTAAACTAAATAGGGTTTATGCATCTCATATAACTGATTTACTCACATACGAGAAATAAGTAACGTAGTCGATTGTTATAGAAAGTATACGTTTGCTTCATCGACAATCCCACCAAAGAATATGACATGGCAAAAGGTCTGGCCTTCCTTGAAATTCACATCTGCCCTGTGAACCAACAGCACTCGTGACAATGTCAAGCTCACATTCTGCACTGTCACGGTTCGACTCCCGCTGGGAGTGTTGATAAGACCGATGCGAGGTCGAAACTGCAGTTCCCCTGGATGAGAACAACTTTTGGGAAAGCAAGGCAATGTGAAATTGAATGGAAACGTCAGCTTTACTCATATCATTGTGGGAAAATTCTACTACCAGT